CGAAAAGCATAACCTTATACCAGTACAATCCTCTGTCTTTGATGAATGATGTGGATTCCTCATCAAGTCGGAACATGGGTATTTGATTGTACCTTGAGTACGCATCCATGAAGTTCAAGAGCTCATGCCCAGCAGTGCAATCCACCAGTTGGTCTATCCTTTGGAGAGGAAAGTTGTCCTTAGGACATGCCTTATTCAGATTTGTGAATAAGGGTATCCTCTATCTTTGATGAATGATGTGGATTCCTCATCAGGTCGGAACATGGGTATTTGATTGTACCTTGAGTACGCATCCATGAAGTTTAAGAGCTCATGCCCAGCAGTGCAGTCCACCAGTTGGTCTATCCTTGGGAGAGAATAACTGTCCTTAGGACATACCTTATTCAGATTTGTGAAGTCTACACATACCCTCCATTTTTCGCTAGGTTTCTTTACAAGGACCGAGTTGGATATCCACTTCGGGTAGATAGATTCCCTGATGAAACCGCTACGGCTGAGTTCATCAATTTCTTCTTTGAGCGCCTCATATCGCTCTAAGTTGAGGGCTCGTCTTTTCTGCCGATGTGGGGCGCGAAAGGAGTTGATGTTAAGGTGGTGACAACTGATCCTTGGGTCTATTCCCACCATATCTTTGTGCTTCCAAGCGAAGACATTCAAGTTCCTTTTCAGAAAGTTCATCATTTCTTCTTTCGTCCCGGGAGGTAGTGCTTTCCCTATCCGCAAGACCTGAGTGGGGTCTTCAAGATTGACGAGGAAAGTTTCTAGCTCTTCCACTAGAGTCGCATTCAGTTCAGACTCGATAATTCGGGGGTCCAAGTCATCAAGATGGTGTCCTTCTTCAAGGGCCTCCATCATGTCGACGTCTTCCTCCTGTTCGGAGGTATGCCCTTGTTCAGGGGCGTCGAGCATTTCAATGTCCATGTCAACTTCGTTATCGGCCTCTGTTATAATGACATTAACGGTGTAGGGCTCTGATTTTCGTAAAGAATTGAGGTATCATGTTCTTGAGCCCATTTGGTCGCCTCGCACTGTAGCAATCACATGCTCAGTTGCGAACTTCATACACAAGTAGTGGATGGAGGTGACCGCCCAACAATCTTTCAATGCGGGTCGACCCAATACTCCATGGTAAGTTGACCTGTGGTCCACCACTAGGAATTCCATGAAGTGGTGGGCCAATAGGGGGCTCACCCTATCTCGACAGGTAGAGTAATTCGCCCTCGTGGGACGATGTTGTTGCCAGTAAATCCAAATAACGGATGGGTCATGGGGATCAACCCATGTTCAATATGCATTTTATCAAAGGTGGATCCGAACAGTGTATTCACCGAACTACCATTGTCGACGAGCATGTGTTTGAGTCCTTTTCTAGCCACTACGGCTCTTACCACTAACGCATCACAATGGGGATGGTGAACTCCTTGTGCATCTTCTTGAGAGAAAGTGTTCGGGGCCATCCTGTTGGCTCTTGGGTCTAGTTGATGATGTAAGTAATTATTGGTGGATCCTTTATTTCCCTTATGTAATTCCTCTGGGCGTTCCTGGTATTGCCCCTAATGTGAGGTCCTCCAATGATTGTGTCAATTTTCCTGATAACTTGGCCTCCAGATAGAGCCTGGTCCCTATGCCTGGGTTCTCCTCTGTCTCTGGATTCTCTCCTCCGGGGTGATTGGTCTCTATATCGCCTCTCTCCCCTATTCGGGGAGGTGGACCTATGGGTATATTCACCCCTTCTCGAGGAGCGTGGATTAATTCGGTTTGAGGATCGAGGAGCATCCCTACATTCGCTGGTGTCGTGTCAGTAAAGTTGGTGAAAGGTGCAAAACCTTGCCCCTTCCAGGGGCCTGTTTGATCGCTTCTTCTTCTTTCGATTGTTTGTTCCTCCGGATGGTCCTGCTTCAGCAGGAGCATTTTCGTATGCTAGCACTGGCACTACATTTAGCGTGGCTTTGTCCGGACGTGGGAGCTATTGTGTGTCCTGCTTGGGTCCATTGCTGGGTGATGAGGTGGGCTGCTGGTCCTCGACCTACCTGCCTCTGAGGGAGAGGGAGTCCCTGCGCTGCACGATTTCGATGGTCAATCATCTCTTCATTGACGATCTCGACCCTCATCATTTATACCAGTTCGTCATAAGTTGTGGGATTTTTACTGCGTACATCCCTCCAGAACAGTGTGTTCATGTTGAGGCCACATTTCAACGCTGAAAGGGCCTCTCTGTCAATGACTGGCTTGCAATACGTGATTTCATCAGTGAATCTGGCGAGATAGCTTTTCAGCGTCTCGCGAGGAGCTTGCCTCATATCTTGTAGGCGTTGTACTGGGCCTCCCCTTCCCTTCGTAAGAGATACTGGTTCAGAAATGCCTTCTTCAAATCTGGCCAACTTCTGATGCTCAGGGGTGGTATTCTGCTAAACCACACTTCAGCAGCTCCGGTGAGGGTTAGATGGAAGGCTCTAAATTTCAGTGCCGGCGAGGCTCTTCTGAGGCTCATCTGCGTTATGTATTTAGTTAGGTGTTTCTGTGGGTCCCCCTTTCCTTCATACTTTGGGATTTTAGGAAGCATGAAGTTTGTAAGCATTGGGAAGCTTCGAATTTCTCTAGAGAATGGGAGGTTGTCATCATCGTCATCAATTTCGTAGGAGCGGCATGGCCCTTCAAAGCCTTCCCCTTCTGATGCGTTTTGGGGAGGTGTGTGTGCCTCTTCCTGACTACTCCAATCCACTAGGTTTCTCCTCTCGTGCCTATTTCTAGGCGAAGGAGGTACTTGTCGTTCCTACTCTTGTTGAACTGATCTTTGCACGGGGCAGACCCTATTGCTAGGGTTCTGCCCTATTCTATCGAAGACACTAATAGATCTTTGGGGTTCGTATTCTGGTGGGAAATTATCTCCTAGCGGTGGTTCTGCCGGTTGGCTCCCCCGTGCGTAGGATGTGACGTCAACACCCACTTCTCTTTCAAGGGGGTGTTCCCGGCGCTGGCTCGAATGACCTCGGCCATGAGGTGTAGGGATTTCTTGGGCTGGATATGGTTCTTGTTGCATCTGGAAGCCCTGATAACCTCAGGCCTGCATGAAGAATTCACGCATCGCTACGTTTTGAGCAGCAATGTCCCCCATTCCAACAACTATTTGGGTCATTCCTTCAGTGAGGGCTGCTGTCCTGTTGCCTCGGTAACGCCGGTGATGGGGTCTCTGATGCGTGACATTGGCTCTGATTACCTCTTCTTTAAAGGCATCCCTGTGCCCTTCAAAATTTGCATCTTCATTACTATAACTCATCTTGTCCACTCCTTTTTCGAGGGTGTTTAGGGAATGGATCGTAGATTGACTGTTCTTTTCTCAAGAACGTGCCCTTTTCAGGGTAAGTCAATGATTTGCCGATGGCTTTTTCCGGTGGAAAATGTAGTACTTATGGACCGGAAGTTTTCCACAGATGGTGCCAATCGGTTGACCTCAATATTTGGACCCTCCACGTTGCCAACAGGTAGCTACTCCAAGTAATCCTTCCTGCGCACAACAACATACGGTCAAAAGCACACGGCTAGGACCAGTGGTGGTGGTGGCGGCGGCCACACACACTCCGACAGTCAAGTCAGCGTTGGGTGATCGGAACAGTGCTCTAGTGGTGCAAGAGAGTGGGGAAGAGAATATATGTTTCTTAGTATGAATAGCTAAGTTATAAGAACTGTCATTACCTTTGTTTCTTGCCAAACCTTGGATATTTATAGGTGTAGAGCACCGTTGAATGTGAGACACGTGTATGCATCTAACGATGTAAGGCATATGCTCATAGACATCACTCGACCGCATCTAGTGTGGACGGGCAATTAGTTCTTCTGAGTTGAGTTGACATAAAGTTGATTTGTCATGTCAACTAGATCTATGCAGACGTCACGTCAAAATCCTGACAGATATCTTTCTGACAGTGGCAGCGGAGGGATCTATTAAGGGAGTGCCTCAAGCCCTTCAACGCTTCGGAGTTGAGGGACACTTCGATTGCCTCATTAGATCTATTCACCTTGCAGCGCGTCATGTCGAGATCGTTAGAATTGGCATCGCTCCGGAACCACTTCGAGTGGACGCGTGGCGCTTCGGATAGTGATATGACCTTGTGTCGAAGTGGTTTCATTAGAGGCATAACATAAACCAATTCATAAGAATTTTTGGTTAGGAGCATAATATAAACCAATTTATAAGAATTTGATATACTCATTTTAATAAGGTTAATCTTTTAAAATGTAACTCCAAATCTTAATAACATTTGTCAAATTTATGACATGAGCCTACATTCGTCAATTTAATATTAATAATCTAATTATTTATTGGTAAAAATTAATCCAAATCTTAAATCTCCACTATAACTAATATATTAAATTGACAATCTTGCTAAATTCATAAGATAATTTAAAATATATTAGATCCAATTAAATCATATGGCTCATAAAACATAATAAGGAACTTCTCACTAAACCTTTGTTTGACAACATTCTTTCAAAATTCTTTTTTTCTAATAATTATTTTCTTCTCACAATAACATGATATTCACGTAAACCCAAATTTTTTTTCATACCTTCAAACCATATATTTTCCAAAAATTTACTATACAAAAATTCATTCTACACAAATTGCAATCAAACGGGAGCTAAATAACTTATTTTTTCTCAACTAAACTCTTTTCCAAAATATCGTCAGAAGTCGTTCACATTTTCATTTTTATTTTTACTCAAACCCACCTCAACCTCCGCTCTATTATTTTGTAATTCATGCATACACCACATTTAGCATATCCTTTTCATTTTATAGAAAATCATTACTTAAATCACAATTGATAAAACATAATTATCATCTAGATCATGATCTTCATCAATACTTATATATAGTATCCCTTAAATAATTTCTTCATTCACATGCTATTCTATATGAACAAAAATTTACATGATATTAAATGCACTACATATAATGTCCGTCCATTTCCAAAAGCATGCAATGCAAATCCCCGAGAGTCCAGAAAGAAAAGTCACTTTTTGATAAATTCCGATACCCAAAAACGAAAATATCCACACCCGTAAGCAGGTGTAACAAACAGTGCAACATTTAAAAAGAATCCAAAGTAAAAATATACCAAGGAAATCTGCAAAAAGAAATAAAAAGCACTGGCGATTTATATTCCAATCTATTGTTTCTGATGTGGGGGGGGAAAAGGCTCCTACTCCGTATCTCAATGGACCAGAATACTATTATATTCAGAAAGGTCTACACGAGGTAGGTAATTGAAGATTGCATAAACATCCATATTTATGAACACTTGGACCTCTTTATCTGCAACGCACCAAACAAAATTATTTGTTAGAAATAAAAGATTTATCTCCTTCGAAACAATTAGAAAGATCAACCAATTAACCTGGTAGTAGAGGTCCCAAGAGTAAGCTCAAGATCATCGGGAA